CCTAAAACTTTATCACATACACCTTTTATATTTGCCTGATAATCTCACAAATAAGAAACTTTAGCTACCAATAAGAGAGGTGAAAGGCTCAATTTATAGGAGAGGAAAGCTTGGTCACCAAGAAAGGGGTTAACTTGGAGGAAAAGTATAGGAGAGGAAATTGGTGGGAAATTTCCTTGGAGGCTTGGTGGATAAGAATGAAGACTTGACTTAGAGACTTGGTAGGCAAGTTTTCTTCGAGAAAAAGAAAGGATTAACTAGGAGAACAAGTTATTTGGAGCCCAATCATACAATATAATCTATAACATTATAATATTAAAATATCTGCTAACATTCCCCCACCTATTTTAATATTATAGGTAGCAAATCTAAGATTATTAAGCAAAGAAGGATATTATGCATCATGGTAGATGTGCTCTGCATTGAACCTCCATTAGTGAAACAATAATATTTACTCCAGAGCCAATAGTATGCTCAACATTGAACTATGACTGCTTAAGGGAAATAAATAATTATTGCACACACATAATATTCCAGGTGTTCACATAAGCTTTAAGAGCCAGCACATTACGGCCTTGTGCGATCCCAGGATTCATGAGTGTATTTGAGAATTAGCCCAAATCTCATAGGTAGCGACCCCACTACCACACTCACATAGGTGAATTCTGTCAAGGGTGCTCCTGTAACTACGACACCCCACTCAATAAGAGCTACAAAAATCCATTAAGAGTTTTTTAATAACTCAACCTCTACAATGTTACAAGATAAATGCACTTACATCATAGGGATGGGTAAAAAGTAATTTAGTGCATTTCTCACAGCCATCATATGATCGTTTTTCTCATTGAACCTAGTTACATGATCTCTGGTCCCTGGGTTGAGTATCCTCATACATGGCTCCTGCTATACTCAATGGTCTTCAACCCCATCCCCCTCGATATATTCTAGACTCTATCTCTTGCTAAAGCCTTAGTTAATGGATCTGCAAGATTATCACCAGATTTAATATAATCCACATTTATGATGCCATTATTCATATAAGATCTCACAGTATTGTGTTTTCTTCTGATAGGTCTGGATTTACCATTATAATAACGGTTATTAACTCGACCAATTGCTGCGGTGCTATCACAATGAATCAATATATGTGGAATTGGTTTTTCCCAACAAGAGATTTCATTTAACAAATCTCTTAACCAATTTGCTTCTTCACTGGTTGTAGCAAAAGCAATAAGCTCAGCCTCCATTGTTGAATTAGCAATAATGGTTTGTTTTTTCGATTTCCAACTTATAGCACCACCTCCCAATGTAAATAAGTAACCAATGGTTGATAATGAATCACCTGACAAGGTATTCCAATCGGCATCACTGTAACCTTGAAGTACTGTAGGATACTTATTATAAAACAAGTCATATTTTATGGTACCAGATAAATATTTCATAATTCGCTCAATAGCTAGCCAGTGATCACTGCCAGGCTTGATAGTAAACCTGCTAAGTACTCCAATTGCATAGGCAATGTCAGGTCTAGTACAGTCAGTCGCATAACGCAAGCTACCAATCATACTAGCATATTCTTTTTGATTAATTACATCCTTATCATTTTCAATAGGAAATAAACGCACATGAGGATCAAAAGGAGTAAGAACATGCTTGCACTTGTAAAAATTATATTTTCTCAAAATTTTCTCAACATAATGCGACTGATCAAGAAATATATCATCACAAGTTTTGGTAATTTTCATTCCCAAAATATAATTAGCCTCACCAAGATCTTTCATATTAAAATGGCTACTAAGCATATTTTTAGTTTTCACGATGATATGCAAATTAGAGCCAAATATAAATAAATCATCCACATAGAGGGTAATAATGACATGTGAATTTTCTTCCATTTGTAGTAGATGCATTTATCACATTCATTCGTTTTACAGCCATTCTAAATCATGCAGGAATCAAATTTCTCATGCCACTGTTTAGGGGCCTATTTTAAGCCATATAGGGATTTAACTAGCTTACACACTTTGCTTTCTTGATCGGGTTCCACAAAACCCTCAGGTTGATCCATATAGATTTCTTCACCTAGGTCTTCATTTAAAAAGGTTGTTTTAACATCCATTTGATGAATTTTTAGATCATGAATTGTGGCCACTGCAATTAATAATCTAATGGATGTGACTCTAGTCACCGGAGAAAATGTATCAAAAAAGTCAAGATCTACTTGTTGTGTAAAACCTTTTGCAACAAGTCTTGCTTTATATTTATCAATAGTTCTATCTGGTTTAAGTTTTTTTCTCAAAACCCATTTACAGCCAATAGTTTTACAACCTGGTGGTAAATCTACTAATACCCAAGTTTTATTGGATAATAATGATTCCATCTCATCATTTACAACATCGTTCCAAAAAACAGAGTCAGAAGATGCCAAAGCTTCTAGTAAAGCTAATGGAGTTTCCTCCACATTAAAAACATGATAATCAGGGCCAAAATCTTTTTTCTAATCTGACTCTTTTACTCTTTCTAGGTTCAAAAACTACAGTATCTTGGTTTTGTAAAAGAGGAGTAAAGAGGCTGGTTTCAGATAAAATATTTTCTTGATAATTTTGACCCTCACCATTTTTAGATTTAAAAGGAAATTTTTCTTCATGAAAAATTGCATCACCTGATTCAAAAATTATTTTGTTTTCAATATCAAAAAATCTATAGGCTGTACTATTTGTTGCATATCCAAGAAAAGCACAAGTGGCAGCTTTCACACCTAATTTAGGTCTTTTAGGGTCCACAAGTCTAACAAAAGCTAGACAATCCCAAACCCTCAAATATCTCAAATTTGGCTTATGCCCTTTCCACAACTCAAAAGGTGTAACTTTTGTTTTTTTATGTGGCACTCTATTCATAACATAACATGCAGTTAAAATTGCTTCTCCCCACAAATTTGAAGGAGCATCTGCTTTAATTAGCATAGCATTTGTTAAATCAGTTAAAATTCTATTTTTCCTTTCTGCTACACCATTAGATGCAGGTGAATATGATGGAGTACTTTCATGGATTATTCCCAAAGACTGAGCAAATGAGTTGAATCCAAAAGATTCATATTTCGGGCTTCTATCACTTCTATATCTTTTAATCTTTTTACTGAATTGATTTTCAACTTCAAGAAGGAATTCTTTAAATTTTTCAAAAGCATCACTTTTATTTTTCAACAAGTATACATAAGTGTATTTTAAAAAATCATCAATAAAAGTAATAAAATATCTATTTCCATCACGTGTTAAAATTCCTTTAAATTCACATAAATCAATGTGAATTAATTCTAATAATTTAGTATTTCTGACCACACTTTTGTGAGACCTTTTAGTTATTTTTGCTTGACTGCAAACTTCACATTTTTCAAACTTATTTGTTAGTCTGGGAAATAATCCTAAACTACTCATGACTCCCATATATCGGCTATTAATATGACACAGACGAGCATGCCAAAAATTCATAGAAGACAACATGTAAATAGAAGTATGTACTTTCTTATCACTATAACAAAAAAGGCCTTTGGTGACAGACTGATTTTGTCTCCAAAAATCAAAATTTCGTCACTAAAGTGATCTGTGACGAAAAAAATTTGTCACCACGTTCGTGGCCTATACGTCATCACAAAAAGTACCTGGTGACGAAATACAGTTTCGTCGCCTATTTTTCATTTTTGGCGACGAAATGTTTCGTCTCCAAATGTTGAAGGTGAATATGGTGGAGTAGTTTCATGGATTATTCCCAAAGACTGAGCAAACGAGTTGAATCCAAAAGATTCATACTCCCGGCCTCTATCACTTCTATATCTTTTAATCTTTTTACTGAATTGATTTTCAACTTCAAGAAGGAATTCTTTAAATTTTTCAAAAGCATCACTTTTATTTTTCAACAAGTATACATAAGTGTATTTTAAAAAATCATCAATAAAAGTAATAAAATATCTATTTCCATCACGTGTTAAAATTCCTTTAAATTCACATAAATCAATGTGAATTAATTCTAATAATTTAGTATTTCTGACCACACTTTTGTGAGACCTTTTAGTTATTTTTGCTTGACTGCAAACTTCACATTTTTCAAACTTATTTGTTAGTCTGGGAAATAATCCTAAACTACTCATGACTCCCACATATCGGCTATTAATATGACACAGACGAGCATGCCAAAAATTCATAGAAGACAACATGTAAATAGAAGCATGTACTTTCTTATCACTATAACAAAAAAGGCCTTTGGTGACAGACTGATTTTGTCTCCAAAAATCAAAATTTCGTCACTAAAGTGATCTGTGACGAAAAAAATTTGTCACCACGTTCGTGGCCTATACGTCATCACAAAAAGTACCTGGTGACGAAATACAGTTTCGTCGCCTATTTTTCATTTTTGGCGACGAAATGTTTCGTCTCCAAATGTTGAATTTTTTGTCCTCTAAAACATCAATTTCGTCACCAAAACTAAATAATATTTTATTTTAATTGTTTTTTACGACGAAATATTTTGTCACCAAATATATTTTAGTGACGAAAGTTTTCCTCACCAATGATATGGATTAAGGTGACAAAAAAATTCGTCACTAAAATGAGCAAAAAAGAAAATTATTCAATGACAAAAAACATTTTGTCACCAAATATTTCAATTTACCGACGAAATATTCAACAAATGTGACGAAATTATTTGTTTCGTACTATATCATTAGTAACAAAATTATTCGTCATGTTTTTTGAAAACTAATAGCGACATTTCTTATTTCGTTACTAATAAAAATTAAAATTTTTGAAAATGGGAGTATTATTTTCTTCCGAAATTTTTTCTTTTCAGTAACAATTCCCTGCACATTTCAATAACCTGTTCAATAAAATATCTATGACAAATCAATACAAAAATCTATTCATTTTCATAAACATCACAATCGAATTTTAGCACTATCCACAAAAATACAATATGAACTGCATGCGGATTATAAGCATGTCTCCTAATATCCACAAAAAATGTTTACTAATATCCACAAAAATATAATATCAACCGTATGCAGATTACCAAACACATCTCCTAATATCCAACAAAAAACATGTCTACTAATATCAACAAAAGTAAAATATCAAGGGCGGATTAACAAACATGTCCCGTAATACCGACAAAAATATAAAATTTACAACACAACCAAAATACATGTAAGGTAATATGAACAAAAACACAAAATGAGCCACCATCTGCCCTTCAAATTACCAAACATGTCCATATCAAATCTCGAATCTGCAAAAAAATGAAACACAAAAAAAATAAAAAATAATGCGAGTTAGACAATTACTATCTTATCCATAAAATATACAATTTAACATCTATTTTTTGAAGCTAAAGTGTGAAAAACTACATTTTTGGACTTAGTTTTCAAACCGGGAGTCCCGTGTTAGTTCCGTCAGTTTTCACAACTCACATTGGTTCCTCCCGAGGTGTTTGAGGTGTTTCCCGGGCCGTCTCGTGGCTGTTGCACGATTTTGGCTCCCGAAAGCCTATTTTCAAACTTAACTGTGAAAAAGTGCATTTTTGGACTTAGTTTTCAAACCGGGAGTCCCGTGCTATTTTCGTAATTTTTCACAACTCACATTGGTCCTTCCCGAGGTGTTTGAGGTGTTTCCTGGGTCGTCTAGTGGCTATTGCACGATTTTGGCCTCTGATGGCCTATTTTTGAAGCTTAAGTGCGAAAAATTGCATTTTTGGTCTTAATTTTCAAACCGGGAGTCCCGTTCTAGTTCCGTAAGTTTCCACATCTCATATTGGTCTCTCCCGAGGTGTTTGAGGTGTTTCTCGGGCCGTCTCGTGACTGTTGTACAATTTTGGCCTCCGGTGGCCTATTTTGAAGCTTAAATGTGAAAAACTGCAATTTTAGACTTAGTTTTCAAACCGAGAGTCCCGTGCCAATTCCGTAAGTTTTCACAACTCACATTGGTCCATCCTGAGGTGTTTGAGGTGGTCCCCGGGCCGTCTCGTGGCTGTTGCACGATTTTGGCCTCCGATGGCCTATTTTTGAAGTTTAAGTGTGAAAAAGTGCATTTTTGGACTTAGTTTTCAAACCGGGAATCTCGTGCTACTTTCGTAAATTTCCATAACTCACATTGGTCTCTCTTGAGGTGTTTGAAGTGTTACCCGGGCCGCCTCATGGTTGTTACACGATTTTGGCCTCTGATGGCCTATTTTTCAAGCTTAATTGTCGCTGAAAGTGCATTTTTGGACTTAGTTTTCGAACCGGGAGTCCCGTGCTAGTTCCATAAGTTTGCACAACTCATATTTGTCCATCCCGAGGTGTTTGAGGTGTTTCCCGGGCCGTCTCGTGGCTATTGCACGATTTTGGCTTCCAATGGCCTATTTTTGAAGCTTAAGTGTGAAAAAGTGCATTTTTTAACTTAGTTTTCAAATTGGGAGTCCCGTGCTAGTTCCGTAAGTTTTCACAACTCACATTGGTCCCTCCCGAGGTTTTTGAAGTGTTTCCCAGGCCATCTTGTGGCTATTGCACGATTTTGGCCTCTGATGGCCTATTTTTGAAGCTTAAGTGTGAAAAAATACATTTTTGGACTTAATTTTCATAGCGGGAGTCCCGTGCTAGTTCTGTAAGCTTCCACAACTCACATTGGTCCCTCTCGAGGTGTTTGAGGTGTTCCCCGGGCCGTCTCGTGACTGTTGCACGATTTTGGCCTCCGGTGGCCTATTTTGAAGCTTAAGTGTGAAAAAGTATATTTTTAGACTTAGTTTTCAAACCGGGAGTCCCGTGCTACTTCTGTAACTTTCCACAACTCACATCGGTCCATCCCAAGGCATTTGAGGTATTCCCTGGGCCATCTCGTGGTTGTTGCACGATTTTGGCCTCTGATGGCCTATTTTTGAAGTTTAAGTGTGAAAAAGTGCATTTTTGGACTTAGTTTTCAAACCGGGAATCTCGTGCTACTTCTGTAAGTTTCCATAACTCACATATGTCCATCCCGAGGTGTTTGAGGTGTTTCCCGCACCGTCTCATGGCTACTGCACGATTTTAGCTTCCAATGGCCTATTTTTGAAGCTTAAGTGTGAAAAAGTGCATTTTTTAACTTAGTTTTCAAATCGGGAGTCCCGTGCTAGTTCCATAAGTTTTCAAAACTCATATTGGTCCCTCCCGAGGTGTTTGAAGTGTTTCCCTGGCCGTCTTGTGGCTATTGCACGATTTTGGCGTCCGATGGCCTAATTTTGAAGCTTCAGTGTGAAAAAATGTATTTTTGGACTTAATTTTCAAACCAGGAGTCCCGTGCTAGTTCCGTAAGTTTCCACATCTCATATTCGTCCCTCCCGAGGTGTTTGAGGTGTTTCCTGGGCCATCTCGTGACTGTTGCACAATTTTGGCCTCCAGTCGCCTATTTTGAAGCATAAGTGTGAAAAAGTACAATTTTGGACTTAGTTTTCAAACCGGGAGTCCCGTGCCAATTCCGTAAGTTTCCACAACTCACATTGGTCCATCTTGAGGTGTTTGAGGTGTTCCCCGGGCCATCTCGTGGTTGTTGCACGATTTTGGCCTCCGATGGCCTATTTTTGAAGTTTAAGTGTGAAAAAGTGCATTTTTGGACTTAGTTTTCAAACTGGGAATCTCGTGCTACTTCTGTAAGTTTCCATAACTCACATTGGTCCCTCCCGAGGTGTTTGAAGTGTTACTTAGAATGCCTCGTGGTTGTTACACGATTTTGGCCTCCGATGGCCTATTTTTCAAGCTTAATTGTCGTTGAAAGTGCATTTTTGGACTTAGTTTTCGAACCGAGAGCCCCGTGCTAGTTCTGTAAGTTTCCAAAACTCACATTTGTCCATCCCGAGGTGTTTGAGGTGTTTCTCGGGCCGTCTCGTGGCTACTGCATGATTTTGGCTTCCAATGGCCTATTTTTGAAGCTTAAGTGTGAAAAAGTGCATTTTTTAACTTAGTTTTCAAAGCGGGAGTCCCGTGCTAGTTCCGTAAGTTTTCATAACTTACATTGGCCCCTCCCGAGGTGTTTGAAGTGTTTCCCAGGCCGTCTTGTGCCTGTTGCACGATTTTGGCTCCAATTGCCTATTTTTGAAGCTTAAGTGTGAAAAAGTGCATTTTTGGACTTAGTTTTCAAACCGGGAGTCCCGTGCTAGTTCCGTAAGTTTTCACAACTCACATTGGTCCCTCCCGAGATGTTTGAGGTGTTTCCTGAGCCATCTCGCAGCTGTTGCACGATTTTGGCCCCCGAAGACCTATTTTCAAGCTTAAGTGTGAAAAAGTGCATTTTTGGACTTAGTTTACAAACCGGGAGTCCCGTGCTACTTCTGTAAGTTTTCACAACTCACATTGATCCATCCCGAGGTGTTTGAGGTGTTTCTCAAGCCGTCTCATGGCTGTTTCACGATTTTGGCCGTCGAAGGCGTATTTTCAAGCTTAAGTGTGAAAAGTACATTTTTGGACTTAGTTTTCAAACCGGAAGTCCCGTGCTAGTTCCGTAAGTTTTCAAAACTTACATTGGTCCCTCCCAAGGTGTTTGAGGTTTTTCCTGGGCCGTCCCGTGGCTGTTGCACGATTTTGGCCTCCAGTGGCCTATTTTCAAGCTTAAGTGTGAAAAAGTGCATTTTTGGACTTAGTTTTCAAACCGGGAGTCCCGTGCTAGTTCCGTAAGTTTTCACAACTCACATTGGTCCCTCTCGAGGTGTTTGAGGTGTTCCCCGGGCCGTCTCGTGGCTGTTGCTTGATTTTGGCCCCCGAAGGTCTATTTTCAAGCTTAAGTGTGAGAAGGTGCATTTTTGGACTTAGTTTTCAAACCGGGAGTCCTGTGCTAGTTCCGTGTTGTGTCATGTGTCTGCCTTCATAGGCCATATGCTTCCATGTTTTGTATCCTACTTTGTCATTACTTCTTGTGTTGGGTCTTGTGTTAAGCCATTTTGATGCCTTGTATCTGTGTTTGTACTAGTTACTGCATCCATGCTTTCCTAATATAACCCAACCCCATTACTAATAGCCCAAAATGTGGTAACGGAAGGAAGAATGCATTGATCACAAGTTGTATCCCAACATAAATTGACATTTAGTTCCTTTTTTCTTTTAGGAAAAGTTTAATTTAACTTTCAAAACTAATAAAACAAACATGCACCACATGATGCTTCTATCAATTACTAACTGAACAGACATAAAGCTGTAATATTCTTCACAATAATGATGTCAGTAAGAAATTATATTACCCCGAATGCTATCACAATAATCACACCCAGAAAGAATGAACAAGTCGATGAATTGATCCATGGTAAGATTTAGCTCCTCCAAAACCTGGAAAACAAGATCAGTTGTGGAAATACTAATTCAAAATATTTAGCAGCCACAACTGAGTTCAATGTTCTTATGCACCTTTGAAACTTCAAATTCCATCACGGGGACTTTTTTTGAGCTTGGATCCATTAAATGGCGAAGAAATCTAGGTGCTCCAAATGTTAGAGAATCCATGTCTTCAGAGGCAACTGCATAAACCTGACACACACACACAGATGTTTACCATAAATTTCTCACATTTCATTTATCAAGGGAACATAAGTGCATCTTGTGCAAATGGAATGCTTCAATTCATTTCAATATAATTTGAAATCACAAATCTATCTCATCGTATGAGTTCATTAAAGATGATGATGATGATGATAAGAAGTAAAAACAATTTAGTTGTACATTTAATTTCTATATGACATAATAAGACACCCCAAAATAACAATTTTTCATAAAAAGTGAGACCTTTACCTTTCCATATTTGCAAAGAGCAGCACACTGTGCTTCTGCTTCTGAAGGAGCCTACGAAAACCCAACAACAACATGCAAGTAAATTTAACTTTACTCAGTTTCTTTCTTTATTTTTTTATTTAAATTTTTGTTTGTGTCTGTGTGTGTGTAGAAAAGGAAGTACCTAATCAGTGCAACCCAAAAATACCATTACAGTACTTAGCCAATAAATAAATAAATAAATAAATAAAATTACCATTACAGTAAAAGAGGAAACTTTTTCAATACTTGCTGCACCAACTCATACCAGAAATAAATTATTTTCGGATTGTCACCTCAATTACAGGCACTTCCATGAGCCTTAGAAGCTTTTTACAGTCTTCATTGTGTTTCTTTGTCACCTGCAAAACCAAGGAGGACATGGCCCTCAACAGCATGTGCACATTAACATATCCTCTTACTTGCAGGAGATTCTCAAGAAAAGGAAAGGAAAAAGAAAAAATTATCCCCCAGAAAGAAAAGGTGAAAAAGAACAGCAACCAACCACCATATTGAAATAGAGGGACAATTGCCTTACTTGCAGGAGATTCTCAGGATAACATTGCATAATGATCCTATTGCTACATTTAGTGCTTTGCTGATGTTTAGAACTTGTTTATACACTATGGAGAGGTGAGAGTATATCTATAACTTGATTATTGAGTGTTAGCTACTCATTAAACACGGTTATACAAAAGCCCTTATGCACCCTGGAACATGGTTCCTGTGAAGGGAATAGAAATTATGATGTCTTGGTGATGCAGGACAGCTTTGAATACTCAAAATATAGCAGCCTCATGAACAGTTTATGATGGAAAGCATGACATTATGAATAAAAGCTTGTAGATTTATTGGTTTAAATGATACAAAGAAATTTGTAGGGTTCGGTTGTGGGTAAAGAAGAACCAAATTAGGCTTGAATTTCAAACTTTCAGATTGCTAGATTTTCTGAGTACTTGTAGTTTAAAGCAATGGCCAAACTTTTGGTTTTGTAGTTAAATTGATGGCCAGAAGGTAGGGAAAGTGGTTTGGGTTAGGGAAAGAGGTTTGGGTTTATTAGGTCTCAATATGGGAGGATTTTGGGGTTGGATTTTGGGCTGTTCAACCAAAAAATCCTTGGAAATTACACATGGTATGGTTGCACAAGGCATCAAACAAAGCATCAAGAGCTTAAAATAAATTCTCATTATAGGCAGCCTTAATCCTAATTTTCGTAATTTGTTTGTCCTCAGTTCGGTATCAAAAACCAAAAATCCTATTATCTTCTAACCAATTGTTCGATGACAAAAGAGCTAAATTCTAGGTTTGAAGCTTTATCTCAAGACCATGAAGGAACAAAGAAGGCTTTAACCCCTAATCATCAAATATGACCAGAACACTAGACCAAATAACTATCATACATACACCACCATGGTTGAAGGTTCCCACATAAATGAAGGGCATCTACATATATCCCTGACAAGTTTCTCAAAATAGAAAGGAGAAGCTCAAATTTTGCAGTTAACTATAAAAGTATCCACCAAACAAAAGACAAATGTGCTAATACTCTTCAATGTCTCAATCTTTAAAATGCTCTTGACAATAATGACAAGCTTATTGAGTAATATGATGTTGGGGGCCTTAATAATGAACAAACTGTAGAAGTTGATTAAAAAAAAACATTGCAAATGGTAGAAGGGAGGACTCTGCAAAAACCCACCTTTACTGTTTGTTTACTGAATTTCTCAATCTGTTCCTTATTGCCAATCTACAATGAAAATGGAAGCACATTACATGACATTTTTCATGTAAAAATAAAGCGAAAAGCAGGTTACAACAAAATGAAAATAGAAAGGGGAAAAGGGAAATAATAGAGAATATAGTCAATGCTATAATGGAATGTTTTACATGGAATATTCATTTTACCACTAAGGCCTTGTTCAAGTCCTCAGTAGCATCTGCTCTTTTTGAGTGTCTGTACGAAAGAGTACACCATTTGAAAATCATAGTAATCAAACATTTGTGGTCTTCTACACACGTCCAAAAGAAGTAACCAAAAAAAAAAAACCATAAGAAATATACTGTTTTGCAAGCTCTTGTTTTTTCAAATGGGGAGGCTTTTCATCAAAAACATATCTGAGACAGGGTTGAGGTAATTTAGCAAATGACAAACTTTACCAAAAGAGAATGAGCAAAATATAGGAAAGGTAAATGAATAAAATTACACTGGCTTCAATCCAGCTTCAAGAAGCCTAATTGTCCAAGCGAACATCCCTTGCAAATGACAACAACACAGAATCACAATAATGATAACTTAAATCATACATAAAAACCCTACAAATATGAAATAATCAAACTTTTTATCTATTAGAAGAATTTACAGGAACTCCAATAAGAAACTGATTTGGTTCAAAACTGAGGCTATACCTAGTTACTTCACTAGACTCATTGGTAAGCATTTCAGTCCCATTCCGACCCACAACAATCTACATCATAGACAAGCACCAATTGAACTAAACATACCAGTATGTGCACATAAATGAAAAAAAGGGATAAATTAAACCGGTAGTCACTATAACTTAATATATAAAAAATTAAAGCATCAATTGCCTATCTATTGATAATCCAGCAGGCACATCATTGTTTGTACCTAGGAGAAATCCAATTCAAAACGGGTTTCCATTAGGGTTTTTTTTTTCGGTTTCCAATTGGAACATCGAATTTGTATACAGAGCATTATACAGAGCATATACAGAGCATATTTTATATGTATATAGAGCATATTTCATATGTATACAGAGCATATACATCAGACAAATACATCAGAGGGAGCATCGAGAGAGAGAGAGAGAGAGACTAACAGCGGTGGTGTTCTCCGATCGGCACTGCAGCAACGGTGAGAAAAGGAGGGGCTAACGATCGGCAGTAAGGGTAGGAAAAACCAACGGCGGCGGTGAGGGTTGTCGGCGGTGAGGGCTGTCGGAGATGGGTTGATGCAATGGTAGCAGCGGCGGTGAGGGAAATAGGTTTGAACCGAGTTTAACGTATGTGTGTGTGTGTGTGTGTGTGAAATAGGTTTGAACCGAGAAATTATTGTGTGTGTTTGAGCTGCCAAAACATTTTTATTTCCACCTAAAATATTTAGTGACTAAATTATTTATTGGTTACAAAATTATTTCTTCACCAAAGATAAAAATATTGGCCATAAAAATCATTTTGTCACTAAATGATATTAAAATATTAAAAATTATTGGTGACAAAAATATATTCGTCATTAATAATTTTATAATTGGTGACCAATTTTTTCGTCACCAAAAGTCTCAAAATTTTGGCACCCTCCGAAAATATTAGCGGGAAAATATTTGGTGACAAAAAAAATATAAATAATGACGAAAAATAATTTCGTCACCTGATTTTTTTATTATGATTTAGATTGGTGACGAAAATTTGTTTTTGTCTAAAAAAATGGTACATTTGGAGACGAAATATGATTTTCGTCATTAAAATATACGTATTTCGTGACAAAAAAAAATTTCGTCATTAGTTTTCGTCTCTAAAGACTATTTTTGTTGTATTCTCAACATTTAATTTAAACATTCCATCACAGGCATACCTTTTCCCCACAAATATGCCTTTTTTAGTGATTACATATTGGTCAGATTCAATAGTCTGTTTGAAACCAGCTTTATTGAGCAAATAACTCGACATCAAATTTTTCCTCATAGATGGTGTGTACAACACATCTTTTAAAACAAGCACACGTCCAGAGGTAAATTTTAGCTCAACATCCCCACACTCGAGCACCTTGGTTAAACTGGAGTCACCAAGCATAACAGTCCTCTCCTCATTAAAAAGAGTGAAATCTTTGAACCAATCTTTATCATAGCAGACATGCCTATTGGCACCAGAGTCTTCCCACCACCCTTCCACAGATTAAACCATAAAAATATCTGTAATCATAGCCAGAAATGGTTCCTCGGTAACATTAGCCTGTGATCAAGACTGTTGTTTCCGAAATTTGCAAGTTCGAGCAATATGCCCACTTTTGCCACGCATAAGACATGTCACATTTGTCAGATCTTGTGAAGGAGGTTCTCGGTTCCATTTCTTTTGCCTTGGGTAATTTTTATTTTGTGGCCTTCCAGTATTTTTCCAGATTTTCTTAACTGGCTTCAAGTGACTATTTTTATGAAATCGACATTTAGGTAAAGTATTTCGAGAAGTTAAATTTACCTTTGCAGTGGAATGTTCTTGTGCCATAAGCGCATTTTGTCCTCGTGCTTCCTCCTCCACCCAAATCCATGTGATTAGAGTCTCCAAGGACGTCTCTTTTTGCTTGTGACGTATTGACTTCTGGAACTCCCTCCAACATGATGGTAGTTTGTCAACAATACCTGTTACAACAAGATTGTCTCCAATTTTGATGCCTTCGGATCTAACTTCAACCACTAGCATCTGAAAATCTTGAACTTGCTCCATTACTGATTTTCCATCTATCATTTGATAGCGGAAAAAATGGCTTGCAGCATATTTTTTAGCGCCTGCCTCTTCAATGTCATATTTATTCTGCATGGCTTTCAAAATTTTCTTAGCAGTGGTGTAAGTAGTATCATAATAATCATAAAATTGATCTGAAAGACAATTTAAAAGATAATATCGACATTTATACTCATCTGTGTTGTATTTCTGAATTTTTTCAAGATGAGCAGCATACTCCTCGTTGGTCATCTCTTCAGTTGGGACTTTGTTCGGATTTTTCTCAGTCAGGATATAGGCCACCTTGAGGAGACTGAGGTACAAAAACACCTTGCTTTTCCATCTCTTGAAATGGGCTCCCTTGAATCGGAAGGGCTTGTTGAGATCACCGGTGTTCTTGTTGAGCTTTTCCAATACTGGCTCCATGATTTTACTGGTTGAATCCCCTTAAAATTGTTGGTGATGATTACAAATAAAACACCAGAAAATACAAATAATAAAAATTACAATAACTATTGTAAGGGCTGAGACGCGGGAAATTCGCTCTCTTTAAAGAGATTCAAGCTGTAGACGTCCCCGAACGCCCCGGGGAGGAACGAGTTCCCTCGTTCCGTTCGATATTGGGCTCACTACAGCTCAGGACTCTCAAATTGTCACGGTTCTTAATCTGAACCAAAGAGTCCAAATCCGGCAAATCGTTTTGAGAAAACAGATTTTTAGAAAAGAAGTGCCAAACATGGACTGCTTTGCCAGATACAGAGTCGCCACCTAAATATTTTATTTTGGGAAATTTAGGAAACCCTGACTCGTTCTTTTTCTTGCGGATATCTAATTCTTCTGGTTATAATCATCAATGAAGGTGAGAAAATATCTATTCTGTCCATTTGATATTGGCTTCAATGGACCACACACATCAGTGTGCACTAGTCTAGCGGCTTTGTTGCTCTCCATTTCACTTCTTTGGCAAAGCTAGTTCTGTGATGCTTGCCAAGAATGCAGCTTTCATAGACCTTATTAGTATGAGCAATATGAGGAAGCCCTTTCACCATATTCTTGCTTGACAACAGCTTCAAGCTTCCAAAGTTGAGATGTTCAAACCTCAAATGCCATAGCCAATCTTTGTCTTTGATGATGGCACTTAAACACTTCGTAGCATCATGTTGGATGTTCAAT